ACATAAAGCTCGTTGAATAGCCGTTCCCTGTTTTTCACACCATAATGGCAATATTGTCATCCATCATAGTTGCTTATGCAGAATCGAGTTGCACCTTATTCATGTTACATACATTATCCTAGATGCCCATTCATGATAGTGATCAGTCTATTTGAATTATGGATGAGAAAATTCTGTTGGTGCTTTTAAAGGCAGTAGAAAAACAACATTTCTGGGTGCCAAATGGATTTGATAAAACTGGAAACCGATTATAATGACTCATAAATTTGCTATTAAAATTTATCATATTTTTTTCTGTATAAATCCATTGTGATTTCTTTGTGGTTATGTGGAGTTTTCATATTTAGATATTTGAAAGAGAGTTATAAAGTGTTTAGAGACATTTGTATTAAGCGCTATATAACAAAATTCAATATTATTATTATCATTTAGTTCCAAAGGTATGACTCTTTAAATGTGGATCTGGACCACTTGCAACATTTACTGAATTTCTCATACGTGACAGTTTTCTGTTTTTAAAGTACTTCAAAAGTGCGGCAAGTTATGATGAAGGCATTGCCTCAATGTTTGGATGCCAATACGAGTTCATGACCGCACACATACCTCAATACATAGCTGTGTAATGTTCTTAGATATGAAAGCCGACAATGATCGAAAGCAAACATAAACATTCTCACCATACCCCACACTGACATACATTCCATCTATCAAGTCAACCTAACCTGGCGATAGGTGTTTGGAATTAGATTTGGGTAGTCGAGTGGATGCATGCAGACTATGCAAAGCCGTTGAAGGGCTGATGAGTGATGCCTTTGTCAGTGAGAGAGTTATTCTTGTGGTATCACTCAATGATGCTTAAGCTCTAAACTGCGCTCCTGTTGGGGTTGAACCACTTTCTCGAAGATTTCTGCCGGAAAATTGAATTATAAGCTAGAATATTCCTGCTCCGGTCATAGCTTGTTTGCTTGCTTGGTAGATCATAGTGTAAATGGCCTAGGGATATTCTTGTTGGAATATTTCTGTGAGAACTTGCACTATAATAATTGTCCCCTTTATTTTAATACTTCAAGGGGAAAAAAATGTGCTAGTAATGATGACATGTTTCAGATTCGTCCCCAGGTTGTTTTCATGCAAGGCTTAATTCCTGGTTCATATCTTCTGACCTCTGACCTATTTCTATAGTGCTAGACTTATATTTTGTAGACAATTTCCATTTATTTTTGATAAATATTCATGCACACTGTGTTTCTTCAAGAACATAATTCTTCAGGAACTTTATTTCCTGGAAGGTTCATTGTGAACAAGGGTGAATACTGTAGAAACAAGTGCAATGTTACACACTTTTAGGATGAAAAGTATGAATGATCTGCTACATGAATGCAAATGCATTTTAGAGGACATCTAACACCTGTTTGATGAATGAGAAAATGCTAGTAAAATGTGAGAGAGGAAAACATCTAGGATAATTTTGTGGGTGTAAAACTGTAAATATTTAATCTCTTTCCTTAACATGGTTAAAGGCATCATTTATCACATTGTTTACTTCAGTAGAACATGTCAGTGAAATGCCAATGAACTCTCTATGCCATTAGTGCTTTAACCAGAGCATTACTATCTGATAAAAAAAAGAAAAACAATTCTTTAGAATTTTACTTCATTATTCACTACTATCCAAATATAATGTATGTTATTGTGACATGAATATGCAAATTAGTTATTGGGGAAACTTTTCTTTTAGGGGTTTGATAATCCTGGTTTGATTATTGTAACTTGTCAGAAACCATTTCTTAGTCCCCCCACCCCTTTTTTTTTCTGTCCTGACTGACTATATTGTCACACTTGTCTGGAATAATCCTCCAGATGTGCTTTGAAAATCCAAGGGAATTTTCAGTTTCTCCCCCCCCCCCCCCCCCCCCCCCAGATAAAATGTTGTTCACCGTGAAAGTGACTGCGATTCTCTGCAAAGTACTCCTCCAGCGTTTAAACCAGAAGACAGAAAGATTCTATCTTCTTAACCTCTCTCTAGTCTCTACGATTAGGGATAATTTCATTTATTGATTCTATTTGGCTAGTAAGTGGAGACAGGGTGTCTGTTTTGTTGAGTTATCTTTATTCTAGATCTGTTGTCAGCATTACTTTTTAAAATGATATTCATCGTAAAAAGGGTTGAAGTTTCTGCCTGGCGCTCCAAGTTTTGGTTTTTTTTTCTCTCTAATTCCTCTTAATTTCATTCTCTTTCACTCTCTTATTTTCATTCTTCATTATTGTATTTTTGGTTTGTCACTGTGTTTTCTTTTCCATTTCCACAATTAAATCAGGATTAGGGCAATGCCCACAACATTATACAAATCAATATTGATTGTCTGTAAAAAATGTCAATTAAAGCCACCAAAATCATGGTCTGTTTTCGATGGCTTCTTGTGCTGTGGAGGGACATTGAAAAAGCATTTACAAATGCACATGTGCTAGACATTTTAAGGTGGGAATGCCCTATCCCTCCCCACCTTAAAGCTTTAATTGACATTTGTACAGACAAGCCATATTGAGTTTTTAAAATGCTGTGAGCATTGCCCTATTCCTGATTTAATTGTGGAAGGGGAAAAGAAAACACAATGACAAAAAAACAAACACTTTAGTTTGAAATGGACTTTGGGCAAATTATTCATTAATCATCATCTTTCTTTATGGAATGATTAAAGGAAATTTGCTCTGTACATATGTTATCACAATAATCATATTATGAGAAGATTGGTATTTAAAGGGGTTTAGCAACTCTATTCATCTCTTTAAATCATTAAAGAATAATTACAGTTTTTTTTCCATGTGTAAAAGATACTTATAAATCATCATACTGTCCATAGGTCTACAGTTTTTTTATGATGAGCCGCTAATGCATTCTGTAGATAATTAAATAAAAATATAAAATTGAGATGATGCAAAGACTTTGACCATGCCACTTCTTGCTGTCCACTCAAAGACCCGTCCACACATGAAGTGGTAAATCCACTTTAAAAATCCAGCAGTGGCAATTTGAAATGAGCAGACAAAAGTGTAGTGCTCTCCATTTTGCTGTATCTTAGATCAGGGAGTAAGTTTTTAACTGGTATCATTTTTTTCTACCTCACAACGTTGCCTCTTGCTGGAAGTATATTATTTAGCTGGTTTACTGTACCTCATCATATTCAAAGAAGGCTTTTAGTCTTCTTAGTCTCTACTCTCTTTTATGGCTTTAATATCTTATTGCATTAATGATAATAATAATGATCTGGATTCATATAGCGCTTAAAAGAAAATACTGTCTTTAAGCGCTTTACAGATATTATTAACCTGGTCATTGGATTCTTTCACGCACAGTGTGCACTGTCTCCACTCCCTGGGGAGTATTCCTACCATATGGTCACCCAAGGGCATATGGCAATTACTAACACATACATGTAGGCTTCCTGTTGCAATACCAGGGGCCCGTTTCAAGCATTTTTCAATGAGAAATGACAAAAATCAGTGACAAATATACTGAAAACCAATCAGAAGCAAGGATTTCAGTAGCTTATAACAAAAACTGTCATTTGTCACTGATGACAAGTTTTGTGAAACGCCCCCCAGGTCCCCATTTCTCTCCTGGGCATGGAGTGGTAAATATAGACCAATGCCTTGCCAAAGGACATTAAGCCTGTGAATCCATGTATAAAGACATGATTGGAAGAGATCACAAAGTTCACATCTACCTGAGATAGTATGATAGCGAAAGCTAATGTGCTTAGATAAGCAAGTGTGCGCTTGTAAAAATGACACCTGGCTGGAATGCTCCCCAGGGAGTGGAGAATGTGCATACATTGTGTGCGAGTAAGCCTGAATCCGATGACCGGGTAATAATATGATTGCAGGGCCCTCAGGGAGAACAGTATGAATACTGATGAGGCTACCCTAGGTAAACAAGACATATTATTATTATTATTATTATTATTATTATTAACCTTGGATTGAATATCAACTCAAGTGTGTTTATAAAACATTCATAGTTAGGAGTGGGGTCGTGTCTGAACACATTGCATTGATGGATGATATACCCATGACATTGGAAGAATATTTCCAGTTTTTATAAATCACAATTTCTTCCCTTTTTCTTCAAAAAAAAAAGTGGAATACACTTCGTTCTGCCTAATCAAGGCAATTTCCTCCTATTTTATAATCATTTGATTTATCTGTTAACATTATCTGTTTGACTATTCCTATTCTCCTTCAGTTCTTTCGATATGTTAATGTCTTTTTTTGTCCTTGAGTTGTAGTTTAAAATTTACAGTAGGGTATTCTCTTTGAGTCTAGTAATAATGTTCAGTATTAAAGATCATAGCAATTTTGGATAAAATATTTCTTTCAGATTGACAGTTATTTGTTATATAAATCAATTTACATGCAGTTCCTTTGTCCATAATATTGGTTTGATTGATTTTGAAATCGCAATTGGTGGCACTACATGTTGGTATCTATCCAGCTTGTGAAGTAATTTGGGGCATTGATTTTAAAGTCATCAGACAAAAGCTATTTTCAGCACGTGTGGGTTGAATGCTAATACTGTTGAATCAAACAGCAGAGTTTTCAAATGTCAATGACTTTTCTACACAATGATCAGCCAAACAACTGCAAATTAACTTGAGTACTGAAGCTATAGGATTTCGATCTATAGTGCCTGATAACATGTTAGTATTTAACCCTTATACTCTTACAACAAAACACGTCACAAGTTAGATTTCATGAGCCCATTTTAATCTTGGTTCATGTCTCTGTTTATGATGATACAGTGTTCAATGATATAAAATTTCACCAGTCGTAAGTTCAATAAGGAAAAACAAGCTCTACTTAGTTCAAGTTTGTGAAATTGAATATTATAATTGGGGCAGTTAGAACTGCCTCTGGCACCTTGTGGGTTAAGGGTCTGAACGGAAGTGTCTCGTCTGCTTAGATTTGACGTTTGATTTGTCTTCTATTTCCCCTCCTTACAGCTGAAGACGGTGAAGAATTACTCAAGATTGAGAAGGTGAAACTTCTGCGGAATGAAAAGAGACAAGGTGAGTGTTGCAATGCGGAGTGAGGGACATCTTTGCTACAGACATTTACAGTGAAAGAAATGCTGGAAATGCTATAGATTATTATTTTGTTGTTGTTGTTGATGTGTGGCGATTATCATAAAATTCACATATAGAATGCTTTGAATTTGACTGGCGAAATTGCTTACCTTAGATTTACTCACTATTCTTTTTGATATTTTGAAGAAAAAGGTATTAATTTATAATGAATTTGGTGTATTGCTAAGTTGACCTGATTTGCCTATTCTCTTTCTAGATAATATTTGATTGGTATTTTGGGTTATTGAGGGACAGAGTACATGTTCGTATACAATGTACTTGAAAGTGCATGGATGGGAATTAATGCACAAAAGTCAGCTATTCACTATTTCATTCAGACATCCATAACACTTTTACACGGCACTGGGCAATAGGTCATTTTCATAATGTAACCAAATTTAATGCATAAATCTTTGTGAAGTGCCCCAATACAAATTATTTCATTCACCTGATAAGAATAATAGTATTTCAATAGTCAGAATGCAAACTGCATATATTAAGTGTTGCTAGGTAGGCATACATGCCAACATTTGAAAATCAGAAATCTGTACAAATTATGCTATTTAAAAAAAAGAGAGGAACAATCCTAACTCTCCTATTCAATACTACAGACAAATTTGTACAGGAAGAGGAACACCTGCATTAAAATGATAATTATCTTCTCCCAAAAAGAGGAATGTTCCTCTTTAATCTGAACAGTTGGCATGTATGGGTAGGTCATGCCATAATGTTTGTCCAACCTGGCAACAACTAATGTATGCAGTTCGGATTCTGTCTATTGAAATACTATTATTCTTACCAGGTGAGAGAAATAATTTCTATTGAGGCGCTTCACAAAGACTTACGTATTAAATTTGGTTACATTACGAAAATGGCCTATTGGGTTTGACTATGATGTAGGATCATTTGAAAAAGTGTAGGCAAAATAGGTTAGAAAAGCCTACAATGTGTTTGTATTAATCCTAGCATGTCATACATACATTCATATCATGTAGAATATGCCTCAAACCTTTTGAGCAAGAGTGTGAGAGGAACTTTATGATAATTCTGATCTAATCACCTGCACAACCTTTAAAGCATTACCGCAATTTAACCACTTAAAATTAAACTATTCTTTTGTTGCTGAGTATCAAAGGCATATCTAGAACACCTTTTGTGGATTAAACTGGCCTATCAGTATCATACTGCCAAAGAAGATCACACAGAAGTGCATTCTCCAGGGAACTCCATATGAACACGTCTATTAGGAAAGGCACAATACCCATACAGGCACCTGAAAGTGGGTTACGAGAGGGAGGTAGAATGTCCCATTACAGGGAAGTGTTGTGAGCTTTAAGGACCAATATGCCACTTCAGTCGTTCCCCAAGAGTAGCTCAAGTTACCAACCGTTCCACCGACCGTGGCGCATTGCCCCGGTTATAATATCATATCCGCATCAATCTCGGCAATGGCGATGCGAGCGCAAAACATGAGAAGCGTTTGATGGCTAAAAAGCTCTTTAGCGCCTCCCTTGTCGGAAATCAAACTAATGGCTCTGTTTGAATTTGCACAAACATGTTAGTGATACGTTTGATATATAAACGCTTCTCAGAGTGGGATCAATGTGTAATACTCTACTGTGTATTCATATATAGCATGAAATCCATTTTTGAAGAAAGTGCAATCAAATATCCTACTCTTATTCCAGATAATTAATCATTCTAATGTTCTAGTATTGAGATAAGTAATGACATGAAGAAACAAAAAATATCCAGTAAATTTGTATCAAGTTTGTGTGATCTCTTTGAGGTAGAAGTATCATTTACTCTATCAGAAATGGGATATGTTTTTAAGTTGAAGATAATTCCAAAAAGAACATGTTTTTCCAGGCTCAAATATAATTTCCCATGTTTCCATAATAGAAAAGATTTTTTTTTTCTTTTTGCAAAATTGCGTTTCAAAGGGCATTTTAATACTGTCATATGATTTTGAAAAACAAACATCACTAAAAAAGATCACCCTCTCTGTCCAATATTTCTATATATGCCAAATCGATCATGTTACATGCATATAAAAAATGTGGTCCATGAAAGAAATACATGATAAAGAAAGAACTCACCATCCATCTAAAATCAGATAAGCTGTACTTTTGTAATTCTATTTGTTGTCATCATCACTACCCGAGATAACCTTCAATGCAAACAGTAATTACCTCCCGCTGAAACAAACCCTCTTCAGTCTATAAACTAATGCTATCGTTTATCTCATCCCGCCCATCGAGAGACGGGCGCGAACGAAAATTGAACAAAGGTGGGAGAATGGAGAGATGGGTGAATTATGGCCGGTTGAAAAGCAGTGAATGATTTATGAGCTCATTTGTGGCTGGCTTTTTAACCCCTTGCTGTCCGCAGGATTGATCCGATCACGTGTGAGAGGTGCTGACCTGGCCACTGGAGAGATCCTTACCTTCTTAGATAGCCATTGTGAGTGTAATGAGCACTGGCTGGAGCCGCTGGTAGCTAGGGTAAATGAGGTGAGTCTTTCACGTATGATACGACTTCCATAGAGCAGCATTGTTGAAGGGTTTTATGTGCATGCATTTTTCTTGTAGGTTTGGAAAGTTTACATCAAGTGGAAATGTTTCGGTTATGTGAACAGCAACTTGCACAAAATTTGGGTCCCTGTCATCCGTGAAAATTTCTGAACATATAATTGTCAGGTTATACAGTCTTTTCCAGAGAGACATTTACTTTGGAGGGCACTGTTTTGATAGTTATCTCCTGCAATGTAAAATTTCTTGATCATAGGAAGTTGTCGTTACAATATTACAGGGAATGTTTGCCATGAGACAAATACCGTATTATTCAATACCTGTTGTTGTTGTTTTGTTTTTTTTGGGGGGGGGGGGTGGGGACTCTCAATAGACTGCATTCCTACTGGAAAATATCTCAGGAAATAGTCTTCAAGTGCAGTTTACAACATTAATTAATGTGGGAAACACAACATCCCAAGCAAAGAAGGATCATTAAACAATATGTTTTGTTGTCATATTCAAATTGAAACCGTGACATTTTGACTCAAATGAATTATGAATAAACACCGCTGATATTTGCTCAGGTGACAAACGTTCTTGGATTTTATTTTTCAATTAGGGTTGTAAATTGATTTTACATGTATGTTAGGGTTAGGGTTAGAGTTATTCTTGGGATGAAGTTCAGAATTTTGGTTGGTGTAAGTGGAATATCTATCATATAGTGGTTGCAATAGAAAATGTATAGATTGTATACATGTAGGTCAATGTTTGTCTAGGGCTCAAAAATTATATGCAGGTTGCAAGAGGAACAATGAATTACATATTAATCTTAAAAGGTCTCACAATAAGTGATATTAGATCACTGAAGCATCCTATAGGAAATGTGTTAATGTTTGTGATATGTATTAACTCATTCACTACAATGGTTCTCAAAATATGATTACGCACGTTGCTCTTTAAAGAGGCAATCCAGCTGTTAATGTCCAATATTGCTTATATCCAGAGTTTAATTATACACATACATACACAGTGTAGAAATAATGGCAGAAACTTGCTTTTCCACTCATAAAGCATTTTGAATGTACCCATGTGCCAGACACTGTTCGTAATGGTAGCGGTAGGTGTGAGGAAGGTACATCTGTGACAGGTGTGATACCAGCAGATAAGATATGAACATTGAGATTGCGTCGTAAATGATGAATTAAATATTCTTGTTTGTGGTATACCTCAAAAGACCTTTCTATTCTAAAGTATAGGTGACATTAAGATATGCAATGTCTACCATTCATAATGAGGAATAGCGCAAGGAACAAAAACATCCACCTACCTCTCCTCCTTCCCTCCAAGGGGGAGAAAAAAAAACAAGAAAATGTCATTTCCACCAACCAGGCACCATACACACTCAAATCAAATTAGCTCTAAATTGTCCATCATGGTGTCCAAACTTCCCCCTGGCCAAAAACACATTAGTCTGTGTTCACGTCGCAGTGATAGGAGATGGATATATGCTAGGGAGTATTAGCATTCAAATTGAAAGAGAGCGCTTGGGGAAGGGGAATGCCCTGAACATAACAAATTCTGTGTTATCATCGTTAAAAGGGTAATGTTCTTCATCCCTCGAATCCCTGACTCTCTTTATTATTCTTTACATTTTTTTTTGCATGATGTGATATCCTAGCCATGTCATCTTTGTCAATCTCTGAGGAGTAGTAGTGAGGATCATGCCATGTGCATCTCTTTTTTTTCCCAAAAAAAATCCTTGATTCATGTCGTCCTGTACCTCTCTTCTCTCGTGGTTTATTTCTGTCTCTGTCTCCCTTTAGTTTATGTCATACAATCTGATCACGTTTCCCCCTATTTCAAGTTTGTCCTAAATTGTCGTACAGTGTAGGTTATTTTCATTCTCATTTCCCCCTTCCATTCCTCTTTCTCTTCTTGTTTTCTTCCATGTCACTGTCTTTGCCTTATTCCTTTACCGTAGCTGTTTTTTTTTCTTCTTCTGTCTACCCCTCATATTATAATTCCTTTTCATACTAGTCCATGTCTTCAGCACCGTACATTTTCATGCACATTCCCTCTATTTTTCCATCTTCATCTCTCCCCCTCAATCTATATCCTTCTTTGATTCTTGGTCCTTATTTCTTTCTCTCTCACTTTGTCATTTGTGATCAGCTTTTTCTTTCCTACATTCATGTTTCAAGAATGCAGAATTTACATTCTCCATGTAACTCATGTATTCTTGACGAAGGACATGAGTGCCTAGATGTAACAGATAATGTCTATGTTCGGAAGGGATCCTCTCCATTTTCATCGGGGCATGGATTATACTTGCAAAGTTTTTTTCAGCACCCCTTCTTTTTGCCAGAAAGACTTCCAGTAATGTACATGTACAGTATATAAATGATCACTAAAAGCTTTACTTGCGACCTGCGCTGAATTCCCAATCTTATTTCTTTCAGTATTATAACATAGAATCATCACTCTAGAGGGTACTGAAGCCAACACCCCTGATGCATGACATAGCCCTTCGGCAATAATGCTCATCATGTAGCACATAATTGTGATCTGCAGCACGTTTTTCTAGATTCCTAGCACCGATCCTCTATTAAGTCCTCAAGATGTTCACCTAGGACAATGTTTAAATGCGGTTAGGAGGGTCGGGAGGGTCGGGATGCTGAATGTTAATCACTCCCCTCCAGACTGGATTTGTCGTGACTTTCTCTAACCTTCAGAATCCTATGAAAAATAGGGTGCATGCATGTGGAACATTGCAAGTGTGAAGAAAATGTAAAGTTTTGATCATGTGATGATGATGAAACTGTAATGTAGGTCGGAACATGCACTCAAATCCTCAACTTGCACCTAATATTGATAGATCATACTTGATTGAAGAGCTTCTTTTAAGTTTTAGCAAATTAATAATAAACTTTGATTCTTTTTTTTGTTTGCATTCATATCTATTTTAAATATAGAGGCATTTTGTGTAATATACATGGAAAGGTTAGATGAACTTGTATCATCACATTTGATTTTAGTTTGATTTTAGTTTGATTCCTGTTGTTTGGCCATCATAAAATTTGAGTACATGTACCTTACTCGCACAGTTGTTCTCATGGAACTTTGCACTATCATGGGTCATTGCAATAGCAGTGCAAACATTTGAACTTGAATGAATAGAGATTGTGCTTGTTGAATTAATATGATATAGGTATACCCCCTCCTCCCCAGGACCTTTGTTTAAACTATTTTATTTTAATTGTCAGGGACTGAAATCCATGTTCTTATAACTGCACAGGACTATATGTGTGTAGGGATTTCTCAAGAAGTGAGACTATATTGATGTAATATCAGATGGTCAAACATTCACTTTAATAGTTATATATCTCCCTGTACAAACGAGGAAAATTGGAGAAGATACACGTAGGAGTTGTTTATCAACCAATCTCGCATACTTGTCGTCACAAGTTTAGACGTTCTGATCTTCCCTAACCCTGCTCTTCTAAACAATCTCCCCGTGCAGGATTACCGTGCCGTCGTCAGCCCCATCATAGACGTCATCAACATGGACAACTTCCATTACGTGGCTGCCTCGGCCGACCTGAAGGGGGGATTTGACTGGAATCTAGTCTTCAAGTGGGACTACATGACCCAGGCAGAGAGGAACAGCAGGAGGGCAGATCCTATAGCTCCTATCAGGTAAGTCCAAAGTCCGTCTGCTCAGGTTATTTTAAAGGGAAATGTCAAGTTCTGTTGGCAAAACTTAAATGTGAAGCTCCTTATAAGTCCAAAGTCTGAGGCCTTTTTAAAGGTAGATGTCAAGTTCTGTTAGCAAAAATTAAGTTTGAAGCTCCAGTCAGGTAAGTCCATAGTCTGTGACCTTTTTAAAGGTAGCTGTCAAGTTCTGTTGGCAATGATTTAATTTGAGTAGAACTTGAATTGTTGCATGTATAGCAGAAGTGTTGAATCAGTACGATACCTTTCTATTCCTGATTTCTGTTCAATCCTGGGTAAACATCTACAATTGCGTCTACTGTGTAATAGTTTTACACAGACGCTTAATGTAAATGTCAGTTTGTACTAGTATGTTATATTCTCTATTCCTTTGAAAGAAATTGTTCAAATATTTGTTAAGTTTGATACCACAGAAAGCATATTAAGTGAAATCAGTTGGGATTATCTTAATTTTTCATAACCAGCATGTCATACAAGCCATGAGTTTTCCTCTCCTTCTGGAGGAAAGCTTATGCCAGATTTTCACTTTGCCTTTAATGGTCGCTGCCAAAACCAGTTTGTGACACTGAAACTCAATCTGTATATACCACAACGTATTTAATAGTAGATTATCTCAACACCAAAGAGTTACCATGGGGGAGGTGCTGCCAGTGTGTTGAAATCATTGATATTTGTTTAGTCAGCTGTTCGCAGGGATTACAATTTTGCTACAATATGAAGTATTCAAATTTGAAGTTCTTTTCTGAAAGTCACTTCAGACATAATGAAAAATTAGAGGGGAAATATTATTTGTTAGGAGCAGACATGTTTCAATTCTTTTGATGGTGCTTGATTATGTCAATTGCTACTTGCCAGCAGAATAAGTACTCTACTCCAGTGCTTCATGTTGAAGTATTAGCATATGTTAACTTCCTTTAAAAAATATATCAGCTGATATTGCCAACTAAAACTATTACGCCTTCATCAAATATCAGTAGGCCTGTGACGTTGTCTATTTTTTGGTGTAATACCTTGAATTTATACTCCTAATTTGAATTATCATTGCATGAATTACAAGTTACAAACATATTTTCCCAACATAATCGCAAGGACTTTTGACAAATTTACCTAAAGTAATTTTAGTAGCCTTGTGGGTCACATACTGAAATGTACGAACATGATTACTATAGGCAGTAATATAGGGTATTGAAATTGTTTCCATTTGTTGATTTTTTGAAAGTCTCTGGGATTGTGTTTTCTATTGAAATAAATTGGGGGGGGGGGTGGACCACTGGTGAAAAAAATTATGTGGTAGGGACAAAAAGCAGAAGATTTCTCAGTGAAACTATCTCTTCTTCTCACTAGGAACAGTGACCGAAACTGACAGGGCCAGCAGGGGATAAGCAAAGAAGGTGGGGAGTGAGGGGGGGGGGGGGGGTGACAAGGATTTAGAGGTTAAATCAGGGGCAAGCTATAAGATAGCCACTACTCCTCTATGAGATGGGCAGTTTTAAATTCATAATCATAAGAATGGTTTCATGTGTGTGTGCAGTGATCATTCAATAACATCTGGGCCCCAAGGTATAAAGAATATCTTGATATCAGCATACAAGAGATGGGACTTTGTAAGTTTGTGAATCAAAGACTTTGATCAATCTGGATCAAATGCAGCTATTTTTATTATAGCCACTACTGCTCTATCAAATTCATTATCATAAGAATGGTTTCATGTATGCAGTGATCATTCAATATCACCTGGGCCCCATGTTATAAATACAAAATTGTGATTGATTTAAATTGGTCACAACTTGATATCAACCCACCAGTTTAATAAAGAGATGAGAGTTTGTAAGTTTTTGAATGATTGGAAGATCCACTATCAATCTGGATCAATTGCAACTCTTTATGTGAGAGGGCCCTGGTTTAAGCAATTAATCAAAAAGGTTGCCTGAGATGACATGCTTAAGAACAAGAGAACTAATTATGGAGGAATTGAGAGTGAGCGAGACAGAGAGAGAGAGAGATGTCATTTTTTTCTCCATATCGATGAGAACTACTCACAGTTTCAGTGTCTACACCACTAGATAAATTAGTTTCTGTTTTTAATAATCTTAGCTAAAAATCCTCATTTCCTGCCTCCTAAGAAGTTTCTCAGATCTCCAACCTATAACAGAAAATATTTAGCCCTTGTTCACGTCCCCCTGTAATTGCCTTTAACCATCCATGCTGTGATTGGTAGGGCTCGGGAAGGAGGTGGAATTTATTCCACGAAATGAAGATGATGCGGAGGAGTCAAAGAGGAGGTTCAGAGTGATCCTGTGGCCTTCAGATTCAATATGATAAACAGTTCAGGTGGATGACTGGATGTTCAATTTTGAGACAGCTGCAAATTTTTTTGATATTTTTGTTGGCATTTGATAAATGTATTGATGTCTTTGGTATTCGTCATTGTTATCTTGGTTTGTGGGTATGAGAAATACGTTTCCCCCCAAATCTAACAAAATGTGCATTAGGAATGTTTTCACGTACAGAAATATGAATAAATCATAGAGATTAGGTTGAAACATTAGACTCCAATACTTATCTAGTCGCATATATGCACATATCTCTGGTATTTTATTCATATGTAGGCCTCAGCAAAGTTTTTTAAAGTTTGTAGACATTTTGCTAGTCCATACGTCCTATGAAACCTGGGAAACCTGGGAATTGTGTTTGGAGGATAAAAGATGTTATAAAATCTGTGTTAAGTGATAATAGTTACCCCTTCTGGCTTGAAAGAAATGAATTTTTAAGATACAATCATCTATGCAGCGTGACTATTATATAGTCTCTCTCTCTCTCTCTCTCTCCCTCTCCCTCTCCCTCTCCCTCTCTCTCGAAGTTCAGTTTCAACCCAGATCAAGATAACCTCTAAATATCTGTCTCTGTCTCCCACTTGTAAGATATGTACATACAGTGTATGTGCCTTTCTGTGGTTGATTACTTCTGTCTCCCCAGAAACGGCTACCATTTCTCACGATGTTAACGCTCTTCCATCTCCCATTGTTTATTATTCTGGGTTGATTGGTTGCGAGTAAAGAGTGTGAGAGGCCGTGACATTGCTTTAGTTTGGCACTCCAGCAATCGGAGAAGTCGTTGGGCGGACCTGGTTCTCGTAAAAGAGCTCCATTAATAATGATTGGAATCGTGATGATAGTGAATCCTACTCCACCCGCCATCCCTCCCCACCTCCCCTTTCCCCTGATAATGAACCCCACTCAAACACCCCACTCAAACACCCCAGCTCACTCCACTCCTTGCCTACCTCCTTCGATGGAAGCATGCTGGGCGAGCTTGGTCGGTACTGAGACAGCAGTGGGCGGGTTTCAGTTTAGATGAGACCTGACAGCATATTAGAGTAGCAAAAATTGTACCAATTATACCATAGTCTAATATAGGATATTAGGACAATGTATTCCTGAAACAGCATGATGTATGGAATATCCTTGTGTGGTACAGGTGCGGACATGAACTCTTCTCTATTTAGATCATTTTCTTTTTGGGGGGGGAAGGGGGAGAGGGGGGAAAAACATAACTGAATTATTCAAGATGTCATCCATTGTTCCAGGAGGGAAATTATGTCTGTAATTGCAATTATATGGGGTAGATAGAAATATGAAAATATGGATATGTCTGCATCTATTTTTGAAGATAGCTTGAAGATTATATCCAGTTCTCTATTATTTGATCAAATACCATGCAGACTTGTTTTTGTCTCTTTTCCCCAAAGTAACTCAATTTTTAGATATGGTTAAAATCAGGGAATATGGATGCTGACGTTATGCCTGAATGTTGATTTCCAAGTCGAGCAATGGAAGATTTCTCTACCCCATCCTCATCAGCCTTAAGGAGCCAACGATGGCAATGTGTTATTAGACAACTTCAAGTGTTTCTCTTCCCCCCAGTCATTTTGTTTCATTATAGCCTTGTCGCCAGGCAAATGACGATTACATAGTGATGTCTGCAACATGTTGATTTGCCCGCCTCCATCTTGATATGATGTGTTTACACCCCCTTTCCGTGCGTGTTAATGTGAGAGGTCATGTTTACATTCGTGTGTAGAAGACAATGGAATGTGAATTTGATACTTCCAAAAAGACTCAAATAATGTTTAACATTTTCTGCCGCAGTTTTTGCTCCGGGCTTTATATTTTTTCTGAAAGATATAAGGCTAGGGTTTCAGTTGGGTTTGAGATTACGTTTTGCTTTAGATAAAGGTATGAATTGAATATTATGAATTAAATATGAATAAAAAAAAAATTAAAAAGGTAAGGGTTGGGATGAGGCATAGCATTTTGGTTTAAGGTTAGGAACATCGTTTGTTAGACAGGACATTAAACACATCAATTGATACAGAAGATGTAGTATTGAATAAAGATCACTGTTTCAAACTTGATCTAAACATGTCCGTACATGATATTTGTGTTGTTACTGATCCGTCTTAAAGACTGCTCGACCAGGTTTCTGTCTGAAAAAGAGTTTTGATGGTTCCGTATTGATTGCAACTCAACTCCAGTTTGATTTTAATTACAACAACAAACATGAGAAGTTGGCAACTGCAGATTGATTAATGAACTTGATCAATGATAATGAACTTGCATTCACTTCTTACCACTTGAAACTGTTATGAAAATGGGGCTCTATAAGTGAAAGAGTTATTAATAATTTTAAGAAGGTTTTAAGGAGTGAATACACAACTGATAAAACATTGCCTGATTTCATTACACTGATTCAGATCTTGTTGCTTCATGCAGTTTGCCCTAATAACAACAAACTGATCACTTTAATACAGTAATTGTGTAATAACAGAAATGCCCTTAAAGGTACTATGTCCCATTTGCAGGCCAAAAAAATGAAAAAGTTAAATTCCAACTGCATTTGAAAGATAATACTAATTTAGAACTTCCCTAAAAAAGGTGGGGCTTGAAAACATCTTCAAGTGGGAA